GTTTGATTGGGGAAAAAAATTTCTTGGCATTTAAGGCTTCAAGGAGCCACCTTTTGGTATAAAGGACCAAGCTTGTGGTGCATTTTCGTGGTCCTTGAAAGTCAGAACCTTGGAGCTGTGTTGGAGGCTCCAAGTTAATGTCATTTTCTGAGTTTTTGAAGCTTGAGGTATACCATGATCACCTCCCTTGTATATTCATGATTTTAGCTTGATTAATCCATTAAAAAGGGAAACTTTGATCATTCAACTTAAAGATTGATGAACCATGTGTAAAATGTGTTAATGAACTGCTGTTTGTGGAGTTATTGGACTCCTAATCGCATTTGGACCTGTAAAAATGGAATTATGCAGTAAACTGCTCGAGTTTCTGCATTCTGTCTGATAAGTATTCGAATAATTTTCGTGTAGTATTCAAATACTCATTAATAGGTAATTAAATACTCTTGAAGGAATATGGGAATACTTTTCTGGGAAGAAAAGTATTCAGATACCTTAGTGGGAGTATTCGAATACTTTACATTAATCACCTAAAACAAGTTGGAAAGCCTTAAACACTTAGTGAAACCTTGGGCTTTGAAAAATAATGATTATTTATGTTATAAACAGACTGTGATTGTGCTGTTTGTGGACTTGAGCTAATGTGGACTTTGACTTCGTTTGATTGCTTAGAGGTAAGCTTTCATGTCCTCGGTTTTGCCATTGTTTGGTTCCACCATACCTCATGGAGGGATGGTTATATGCATGATGTGTTTTCATATGATGATATATTTAAAATGCTTTTGAGCTATTAAGTGAAAGTGCCTTATAATATGTATGTGTTGTTCCACCTAGACGGTAAGCCTGAGTATGTGGCGTAATACAATATGGTGATTTTGTGGGTGGGTGAAAGTAGCGTCTTGCACTGATTGTAGGTTGTAGACGTATGTAATTCCTGCATTTTCTCTGGCCAGTAGGATTTTGACACACACGACATGATTATATGCTGCATTGCACAAATTTTGGAACTTATACTATTTTACTGCTTTTAAACTTATATTGCACATGTAAGAGAGCTTGGGGTGGAGAGATCCTTGAGGACCCCTTGTCTTACTGAGATTTCTTTTTAGAGATCTCACCCCACGTTTGGGGCACATTTTCAGGTTCAGGTAACTCGGGGGTTGATACCTCAGGCGGTAGGAGGCCGTAGCTGAGTTGAGTTGTATGTTGTATGCTGATATGTCTGGATACTGATTATGTTTACCTTTTGTATATTGTTATTTGATTTGAGACTCTGTTGGGGCTTTCTTGCCTTATTTGGTGAGCATGTGGGTTGTCCATGCCACATTGGTTCTGTTACACTTAGTTAGACTTGAGTTGTATAAATTATCAGGATATTGTCCAGACTATGTGTTATAGTTCCGCGATTAGATACATGTTGGGTCAAAAGCTGTTGGGTGAAAAATATATTATGATGAAGACGTTCCTCAGTTCACTAAGAAAGAACACAGTTGCTCTCTTAGTTTCAACCCAAGTGCACAAGTGCACGCATCAAGTAATAAATGGGAGTGTTAATGCCCAGATTATCGTTCCCACGAGGATGGAACTCTAATTGGTGCCTTATACTATTTTACAAAGAATGAAAATGAAAAGAAAAGTTAGTAATTGACCTATCTGGTCAAACGTTCCCTACTGTCTCAAGAACAGTAGGTTTAATCTAACAACAAACAGTTCATCGCTTCGTTATGTATGATGCCCTTCTTGTTGAGAGAAGGAAAAGCAATATTCATGGGAGAGTTATAGATACAAGATCGAACAAATAATAGAAAAATAACAATAGTAATAACAGTAATTAAGAGACAACAGGATGGATGGAGTAAAACAATTTAACAGAAGGAGCGGATCCGTTGTTCCATTATTATATAAATATTTTTTTTACTCAATTTTTAACACTTTTGTCTTTGTTCCAGTCTCTTAAAAGCCAATGTCTGATTCCTCAGCTTATGGACTGGATGGCTTACAAGTTTCCATATTCCTATGGCTCCCTCGACTCTAACAGGTACTTGGTACAGGATCTTAAAATGAACGAGGTGGCCCTTTATTCCTAAGGCAACCAGCAATGTTGTTTCCACAACACTGCCTTCCCTCTCTGGTTAAGCTGTCTGAAATTCCTTCCTTATGGAAGTTCCTTTCTCAGTATATCTTCAATTTCCATTGATACACAATGAATATAGCTCACTTAACCAGAGAAATCCAAAAGCTTAAATACTAAAGTTTTGAGAATAAGTCTCTAAGAACTTTGCAGCTTTTCCGTTCCACAGATAGGTTAGCCCATGGCTACTAGTTTAAGCATAATTATTCCAAACTGAAATCACATATACCCGAGATTCAGTTCAGAGATAACAAATGGAAAAGAGAGAAATAACACTTGTATTTAAATGAAAATAACTTGATTACAACAAAATGAAAATGGGAGAATATGGTTGTTGCTCATGAGGAGTCTCAAGTGGGTGATACAAAATGAAGAAGAATGGTTGTCACTTAACTAAAGTTAAAACTGTACAAAAAATACAAAGAAAACTATAAACTAAACTAAGTGATCTCTTCTTAAGGAATTCGATGTTGTCTTCGTGCTGGAACGTCCTATTTATAGGCAGAAGAGTGAAGGGCAAAGTGGGTAATTCTCTTGGAGTTGTTTTCTTGACTGCATGGAAGGGGCGGTGTGAACAGTGCTTTGCGGGGCGCAAGTGGCTGGATGGGACAGTTATTGTTGAGATTTGTCTTTCTTTCTGATCGTCCCATGCCTTGCTTTCCTCCTTAGCCAATAGGAACCGTTTATTCTATACTGCGCACGTTTCCTCTTGCTTGATTGCTGCACCGCTTATGCTTTATGGAAAATTCTTTCCAACTTTTCCTGCAAAGTGGTCAGAAATATTAAATGAGTGGAGCAGGTGTATTTAATGTTCCAAATCCGTTTCCCTTTTTATATATTTTCCAAAGACTTACGTCACCATCCGTTTCCCACTGTGTTTTTGTCAAAAAGATATTCAACATATGCTTTTAGTGCTAAAGTTGCTCATCAGGTGAGGGAACGAATGACATTTTGTCATCAAAATAGGCTTAGATGGGAACGAATTTTCGTCCCATCAAACACCCCAAAACTAAACTGTTGGTTGTCCTTAAACAACTCAGAAATAGTGGTTTAGGCTACTCAATTTCAAAGAATAGCTCAACTTCAGGAACTTGAGCAGTAAGTAATCATAAATTTTTCTAAGAATGAACTACTTTCCATAGGTGACAAGTAGAAAGAATTTGTTCTGAGGTAAGTGAAGGTTGCTGATCTTTTATCTCACTATCACTCAGAGCTTGGATTTTCTCTGTCCATTCCTGGATGTGATTCTTCAAACTTGCTTATATGCTGCTTTCCTAAGAAGTTCAGGTGTCTTTCGTTTCGAAGGATATTTGTGAGAGGACGGATGGAAAGGTTTAAAAATGGAATGGTCACAGGTCTTGGGCCAGGGAACATTTTTCAGTTTTTCTGTTTTTGAGCTGGACGTTTCTATTGGAGGGAACACCTTGTCTTTTGTACCTTCTTTCCTTCCTTTGGAGGAAGCTTTTCTGATATTTTCTTCTGAATTCTTTTGAATGGATGTTCCCATTTTTCTCTGTTTTCTTTTCTTCTTGTCCTTTTTCTTTTTTTGGATTTGTTCCTTGTCCCTTTTTGTTGACCATAGGGTGAGTGTGTATGTGGGGTTGTACTATGTGATGGATGGAAATGGAAGTGTTTGTTTGCTTGTGGAAGGGTGAGTGTTTGAGGGTTGATCCTTGTTAGTGAAATTCACCTGTTCTTCAGTAGTACTGGCAGCATTCAGGCAAGTTAGAAGTTTCATTGTGGTGACACCTCACGAACGCTCTCATGAGTAAGTGTTTGGCATTTTTTTGTTCCTCACCAGCTTTAGTTCACAGAGATCAGTTTCCTTCAAAAATCTGAAGATTAAATTCATTTCACCCTTTCTATCTCAAGCATTCAGAGTAAGAATAAGAATAATTACTTATTGACTTTGTGTTTCATGCCATTGGTTATTCAAATTTTACAGCTACAATACTATAAATGAGATGTATACTTCAAACAGTTTGAACAAAAAGATTTTTCATTTCAAAAAGAAATTAACATTTTACACTAAGGAACGGAAAAAGAAACAAAAGGGAAATAACAGAAATAAAAGCAATAAAAGGGGAATATGTGGTTTTTGAGCCACCCCAAAACTACGTTCCTGGAACATAACATATTTTATTTGTTTGGACTTGGAGTTCGAACATCAGATGTTCCCTCCATTTTGGGAGCTGTGTGGTTAAGTTTAACCACCCCAAAACTTTGTTCTTTGTGAGAGTGCAAAGGTATCCACTGGGTTGCCTCCCAGTCAGCACTTAGTTTAATGTCTTTAGCTAGACATGTTACTTACTTCTTAATTGGAATCAAAAAGAGGGATACTTTCCTCTTTTTCTTTGAACGTTTCATCAGAATACAACTTCAACCTTTGCCTGTTAACTTTGAAAGACCGGCCATGTTCAGTTCCCTGAATCTCAAAAGCTCTGTTTCCCGCATCATTTATAATTTGATATGGCCCAATTCACCTTGATTTGAGCTTTCCCAGAAACAATCGGAGCCTGGAATTGAATAGTAACACTTTCTGACCAATCTTAAGCTCTCTGCTCCTAATCCTTTTGTCGTGCCACTTTTTCATCTTTTCTTTGTACAACTTGTGATTTTCATATGTGTTTCCTCTGAATTCCTCCAATTCTTCAAGCTGTAGCATTCTCTTTTCACGTGCTTCCTTCTCATCTATGTTGAGAGCGTAAACTGACCAATATGCTTTGTGTTATAGCTCTAGAGGGAGGTGGCATGCTTTGCCAAATATCAATCTATAAGGGGAACATCCTAATGGTGTTCTGTAGGCTATTCTATAAGTCCATGATGCCTCATCTAACTTGAGAGACCAATCTTTCCGAGAAGGGTTAACAACCTACTCTAGAATTCTCTTAACCTCTCGGTTAGAGACTTCAATAAGTCCACTGGTATGTGGATGATATGAAGTTGCAACTTTATGTTTGACTCCATATTTTTCCAACAACCTCTCAAACTGGCGGTTAATGAAATGTTTCCCACCGTCACTGATGATATAGCGGGGGGTCCCATATCTTGTCAAAATGTTTTTCTTTAAAAAATTTATAACCACCTTGGCATCATTTATAGGTAAGGCAATAGCTTCTACCCACTTGCTTACATAATCAACAGCCATCAATATAAATTTGTTCCCGCAAGAAGGCGAAAAAGGGACCATGAAATCAATGCCCCATATATCAAACAATTCAACTTCTAATATGGGATTAAGGGGCATTTCATTTTGTTTAGTTAGATTACCCTCCCTTTGACATTTATCACATTGCTTAGCATATTGAAGAGCATCTTTAAAAAGAGATGGCCACCTGATTGAAGTATCTTGGATGTTGTTCTGATTCCACCCAGAAGGCCTCCATAGGGGGATGAATGACATTGAAAAAGGATTTGATGTTGCTCTTCTTCTGGGACACACCTTCTTATCATTTGGTCCGCACATCTTTTGAATAATGAAGGTTCATCCCAGAGATAGTTCCTGCAATCATGAAAAAATTTCTTTTTATGAATCCAGCTTGCTTCATATGGTTCCAGTCTTGCTGCAAGGAAGTTGGCTATATCAGCAAACCAAGGAACGTCCACTTCTTTGTCATTGATAACAAATAATTGTTCGTCAGGGGACGTTTCCTTGATAGGTAGCCCAACTTCAATGTGTTCCAATCTGGACAGGTGATCAACAATTTGATTTTTGTACCCTTTCCTCTCTTTGATATCCAGATTGAATTCTTGCAATAGAAGGATCCATCTTATTAACCGTGGTTTTGCTTTTTTCTTAGCAAATAGATATCTGAGAGCTGCATGGTCAGTGTGAATAATGACTTTTGATCCCAGAATGTATGGCCTGAACTTTTCGCATGCATATACTATAGCCAATAGTTCTTTTTCGGTGATTGTATAGTTCACCTGAGCTTCATTTAAGGTTTTACTGGCGTAGTATATGCTACGAAAGAGTTTATCTTTCCTCTGGCCCAGAACTACCCCAATAGCCTGGTCACTTGCATCACACATTAATTCAAAGGGTAGATTCTAGTCTGGAGGTTGAATAACAGGCATAGTGACTAATTGACTTTTCAAATTTCGAAAGCCTTCAAACAATCAGGATTGAATTCAAACTTCACATCTTTCTCTAGCAAATGACACAGAGGTCTGGCTATCTTAGAAAATTCTTTGATGAACCATTTGTAAAAACTTGCATGCCCAAGGAATGATCTCACTGTTTTAACACTTACTGGAGGTGGCATCTTTGATATGGCTTCTACTTTGGCTTGGTTCACTTCTAACCCGTTCCTGGAGATTTTATGTCCTAAGACAATTCCTTCTTTTACCATGAAATGACATTTCTCCAAGTTAAGAACCAGATTAGAAGAGAGACATCTTTGAAGAACATCTTCTAAGTTGACCAGATAGTGATCATAAGACGTTCCCAAGACTGAGAAGTCATCCATGAATACCTCCATTCTTTCACCTATCAAATAAGAAAAGATAGAAAACATGCACCTTTGGAATGTTGCTGGTGCATTGCACAATCCGAAAGGCATCCTTCTGAAGGAAAACATTCTGTAGGGACAAGTGAAGGTAGTTTTGTGTTGATCCTCTGGTGCAAAAGCAATTTGGTTATATCTAGAATAATGACGTGCGCTGTCGAACCCACACAACTTACCGAGCTTTAGGTTTGTAGTGATAGGGCAACTCGAATCGTTTCCCAAAGAACCTGCGCACAATCAGAAACGCTCTTGTAAAATAAAATATAAAAGGGAAGGGGGATTTTGTTGATTTGAAATTTAAATAAAAACATATTTGAAAAAGATTTAAAAATCAGAATTGAAAAGCAATCAACCTAAGGAATCAAGATGCATTAATTTATTTCGTCATTGGATTAAAAATATATGATTATCAATTCGTGATTAACCCCAATCGAATTAGGAATCCTCAAATTCAATTGGAAACCCTCTCTAGACTATCGCCTAACATTCGGTTGAATACAATATTTAAACTATGCAATCGCAGTAATTTAAACCTGTTCAACTTATGTTCTTTGGGTTGGTCAATCTGACCATTAAATCTAATGATCAATTCTCCCTTCTAGAATGCAATCACATTATTCAGTTTGAATATCTACAATCGCATGATATTCAACCTGAATTGAGAGAAAAACGAAATTGATGAAAAAGTTAAAAACCAATCCTCTGAAATAAACTAATGAACCTTTAACCTTAAATTGATTAAAGGTGTTTAGCCTAGCATCGCGAGATTAAACATCATTCAGAATAAAATAGCATAAAAGAAGAAGAAGAAGATGAAGAGAAAGAGTGCAGAGTTTCGATAAAGAAAAACTCAAAACAATTGTTCCACTCAAAATCTGACTGCCGAAGGATTTCCTAACGTTTCCCTTAAATAACCCACATTCAGAACGGGTTAGGGTTTCACCACTTCGGCCCATACGTAAAATAAAATCTGAATAAAATAAAATAAAACATGGCCTTGGGCCCTAAAAACATTGGGTCTTAATTTAATTTATAAGTCCAAACGTCAAAATAAAATTCCAGCAAAAACACGTCATCTTGGGCTCAGGTTTCAACCATGTTCGCGTCCGAATTGGGCTTCAGTAGCTGAAATAATGATTGTAGAACAATCTGTTAGCTGCAAAACGCAATAAAAATGGAGTCAATTAGACATTTGTAGAGTGAGATATGGTCAAAATACAAAAGTAGTGTAAATATGGAAAATTATGACAAAAATCAATTAAACCCAATTAAAATCTAGAATTTTGATTTGACCCAAAAGATCTTTATTTAATTCAAATAAATCATAAAAAAACCAACCAAGAGTAATAAATAAGTGTAACAAAATATGTGTTATCAAATTCCCCCACACTTATCTTTTTGCCCTCCTGGGCAAAAACTAAAATTGAAAGCAAAGACTAAGATCAACTAATCCCTTCTAACAATTATCAAGCATATAGAAAATATACAAAAATCACAAGTCTTCAATAGGTAAATCAATCAGGACAGAAATTCCCTAATCTCAAATCCCAAGACCTGCTAATTTCAATTGTACATGCCAATTACAGAAAATGGTTCCTCACAGGGTGCTCTCAATACTTTTCTCTAAAGTGTATCAGGTAATCAGTGTATCACTCAAATCTACTCAAGAAAATCATTCTACCATAGGCTTGCTCAAATTCTACTTCTCCATTGCTACTAACACATGCATGCACAAATCAAGAGGGCTTTATGTAGGGTTGTAATGGGGCTAAGGTGAAGGTATGTATGAAATATGAAAAAGAAGGTAAAACACCCAGAAATCTACTAGAGCAAAAATTAAAAACTACAATGAGAAAAAAAAAACAAAGATAATGAAAAGATAAAAATAAACACATATTTTTTCTTTATTTTTTTTTTGTTTCTATAATTTTTTTTCTTTTTGCTTTTTCTATTTTTTTTTAAATACAGAAAAACCACATAGCAGAAGGGAATCAGATGGTCACCCCATACACTTAAACTTTTGTCCGTCTCGGGCAAACCCCCACACTTAAACACAACATCACAGTGAAACCAATGCTCAGTAAATCTCCAGGGTGTGGAATTAATTGATTTTTCACTTAGGTTTGTAATGTGGCTTAAGAAATAAAAGATATAAAGGCTCAAAGGGGCTCACCAAAGGATAATAATGTAAGGGATGGCTATCTGGCTAAAGTGGGTAAAGAAAGAAATGAATGCCTCAATCATATTCATGCATGTAAGTGAAAAATGCAGTTTCAAAAAAAATCAGGGAAAGTTCTAGATAACAAAGACCAAGAGCATAAACACACAAGAAAGAAAGAATGGCCAGAAGATGTATGCCATGTATACAGGCTCAAAACCTCACAAGGGTAAACCAAATCATGCAATCAACATCACAAAATCAATCAACAGGTATTGCAATCCAAGAATCGAGATCAAAGCCTACCAAACTATGCTATCAAACACTGTGATCTAAGTCTACTCCATGTACCACTCAATAATTACCAGAAAGAAAAGGAAAATCTACCTATGAAAATCAAAAACTAAAAGAAAGAAAGAAAAATAAAAATAAAAAATGCAAATAAAAGAAAGAAAAGAAAAAGAGGGAAGAAAACTCCCTGAACTCCTTAAGGAGAATAAGCAACATCAAGCAGACTCTTAAACTGTTCTGAGCTCTTGCCGGAACCAGTTCATTTTTCTGATTTGCCACTACAGTCACTCTAGACTTCTTGGGAACCACTTGAACCGGGCTGACCCACCGGCTATCTCAAATAGCATAAATGATGCCGGCCTGTAAAAGCTTGGTGACTTCCTTCTGCACCACTTCTAGGATAAGCGGGTTCAGGCGCCTCTGGGAATGCCTCACTGGTTTAGCACCTTCTTCAAGCAAAATGCGGTGCATGCACATGGAAGGGCTGATTCCCACAATATCTGGTAAAGTCCATCCAATGGACTTTTTATTTTCTTTCAGCAATGTCAGAAGTTTCTCCTCCTGCTCAGGTAGACGGGTCTTGGCCATTATCACAGGTAACTGCTCATTTTCCTCCAGATATGTATACTTCAGATGGTCAGGCAGAGCCTTCAGTTCTAACTTAGGTGGTTGCTCAGTGAATGGGAGAAGTCTAGTGGGTGCAGGTTCTGCAGAAAACACATTAACATCTATGCCTGCAATCAAATTCTCAGAAACAGAATCATCAATAATTTCAACAGGCAACTCAGAATTCAACACCAATGCAGAACCACTGTGCAAATCATCATTCAATACATGATTAAAATCAAAACAACACAAAGCTATCCTAGCACAAGCAGTACAATTACTACTATCGGTACAACCACATGACAGATCAAAATTAAGTAATGATGATAATTCTAGATATTCAGCAGTTAAGTCAGCAAAGATATCATCCACCATTTCATCAATTACATCCATACAGAAAACAAAATGCTCTTCCCTAGGAAATTTCATGGCATCAAAAATATTAAAATTATTCATGCTATCACCAAATTCCATGGAAAGAGTACCAGAATGCACATCTATCTTAGTCCTAGCAGTTTTCATGAAAGATCTACCAAGTATAATTATACTACTAGGATTCTCACCCTCCATCCCTAGGATATAGAAATCAGCAGGAAAAATCAGATTGTTCACCCTAACTAGTATATCCTCAACTACTCCATAAGGATGAACACTACTCTTGTTGGCTAACTGAACAACAATACCAGTAACACGCAAAGGACCAAGACCAAGAGACTTATACACAGATTCAGGCATAACATTAATGGATGCTCCTAAGTCTAACATACAATCATGAAAAATAGAATTTCCAATAATGCAAGGAATAGTAAATGTCCCTGGATCTCGACACTTCTTAGGCATGGGCTGGATGAGTGCTAACACATTTTGGCTGACGCTGACTTGCTCATCTTCTTTCAGCCTCCTCTTGTTGGTGCACAACTCCTTCAAAAACTTGGCATATCTTGGAATTTGCTGAATCGCATCAAAGAGTGGGAGTTTTACCTCTACTTTTCTGAAGATGTCAAGAATCTCTTTATCTTGAGCCTTTGCTGTTTTCTTTTTAGACTGAGTGGCTCTTTGAAGAAAAGGTAACGGAATGTGGACACCAGAAGTATCAATATTCTGCTTCCTTGAACCAGTGTCACCTCCTTGAGATGACTCGACAACAGATTAGTTTGGCTCCTCCAGTTGCTTGCCAGACCGCAGAGAGATGGCACTAACATTGCCGATTCTCTTTGGAATTGGAACTGTCTGTGATGGAAGGGAGCTGCTGGAAGGTTGGGCCTAGTTCATTGATGTCGCCAATTGCCCGATCTGTGTTTGCAAATTTTGGATTATGGATTCTGTCCTCTGTTGAAACTCCAGATTGTTGGTGGCTATCTGTTTCATGAAGTCCTCCAAAGAAGGACCACTACCACTGTTTTGCTGTTGCACTGGTGGTTGTTGTTGCAACTGTTGGGGAGCAGGTTGCTGGAAGTTTTGTCTCTGCTGTGGAATGAACTGTTGCTTCTGCTGCTATGGAAAATTTTGTTGAATCTGCTGATATGGAACACTTTGCTGATTCTGGTTCCATCTGATGTTGGGATGATTCTTCCAGCCAGGATTGTAAGTGTTGGAGAATGGATTATTCTGCTGCTGCTGGAACTGTTGTTTCCCAGGAAAGACTGCAGCTACTGACTGGTCTGCAGGAATGGAGCCCTCTTGTAGAGAAGGGCAAGCATCAGTGGGGTGAAAAGGGTCACTGCATATGCCACATTGATTGCCGAACTGAGGAGCATAAGTCTGGACTGTCTGGGTAACTGTCAACTGTCTCACCATGGTTGCCAATTCATCAAGTCTATTTTCAATTCGCTAATTGTCAGCACTTGATGCCAATGCTGAAGGCTGGGTCGGAGTTGCTTGCACATGGTACACAACACTACTATTGGCTCTCGTTCCAAACTGTTGAGCATTTGCAGCCATGTTTGAGATCAACACCTTAGCTTCATTGGGTGTTTTGTCAACAAAAACTCCTCCACTGGCAGCATCAATCAGGTTCCTATCTATATGTAGCAATCCCTCATAGAAGTAGACAATCAGCAATTGCTCCAGAATCTGGTGATGTGGACAGCTTGCACAAAGTCTTTTAAATCGCTCCCAGTACTCATGCAAGTTTTCCTCATTTGCTTGTTTTATGCCACTTATCTTCTTTTTGATTGAAGTGAATCTTGAGGACGGGAAAAACTTCTCCAAAAACAATCTGGCCATGTCATTCTAAGTCCCGATAGATGAAGGCTGAAGGTAGTACAACCAATCCTTAGCTCCTCCCTTGAGGGAAAAAGGAAAGGCTCTCAGTTTGACCTGCTCCTCATCAACTCCTTGCGGTTTCATTGTGCTGCAGACTACATGAAACTCTTTCAAATACTTATATGGATCTTCACCTACAAGACCATAAAACTTGGGAAGCAAATGGACAAGACCAGACTTAAGTTTAAAACCGGTATCAAGATAACGAACGCAAAAAGACTGATAGTTAACATCAGGTGCAGTCAATTGCCTTAAGCTTCTATTATCCATGTGTCCTTTTTTATTACAACCAAAACTTCCTAAATTATAAAAAATAAAAATTAAAAAAAATTAAAAAAAATAAAATAAAATAAAAGGAAAGAAAGAGCAAAAGGAACCAAAATAAAAATAAAAATAAAAATAAAATAAAATAAAATAAATAAAAATAAGTAAAATGAAATAAAATAAAATAAAAGGAAACTAAATCTAACAAAATCTAATCAAAATCTAACAAAATATAATATAATCTAACAATATCTAAGAAAATCTTAACAGAATCAAAAGATTAGGAATGATTGGAAATAAAATCTAGTCTAATCTAATCAAAATCCTAATAAAATCCAATCTACTATTAATATTCACTAATTAGAATAAAAAACATATATATAGAAACAGAAATAGAAAAAGAAAAATCAAAATGAAAATTGAAGAATTTTTTTTTTGTTTTTTTAAAAAAAAAAACAGAAACAAAAAAAATGAAAATTATAAGAAAAAAAAAGAACAAGAATAAACAAAACAAGAAAACAAAAAATTAGAGAAAGAAAAGGGACAGAGAAAGAACGCTTTGACGTGCAGATTCCCCGGCAACGGCGCCAAATTTGACGTGCGCTGTCGAACCCACGTAAATTACCGAGCTTCAGGTTTGTAGTGATAGGGCAACTCGGACCGTCTCCCAAAGAACATGCTCACAATCAGAAACGCTCTTGTAAAATAAAATATAAAAGGGAAGGGGGATTTTGTTGATTTGAAATTTAAATAAAAACAGATTTGAAAAAGATTTAAAAATCAGAATTTAAAAGCAATCAATCTAAGGAATCAGGATTCATTAATTTATTTCGTCATTGGATTAAAAATATATGATTATCAATTCGTGATTAACACCAATCGAATTAGGAATCCTCAAATTCAATTGGAAACCATCTCTAGACTATCGCCTAGTGTTTGGTTGAATACAATATTTAAACTATGCAATCGCAGTAATTTAAACCTGTTCAACTTATGTTCATTGGGTTGGTCAATCTGACCATTAAATCTAATGATCAATTCTCCCTTCTAGAATGCAATCTCATTATTCAGTTTGAATATCTACAATCGGATGATATTCAACCTGAATTGAGAGAAAAACGAAATTGATGAAAAAGTTAAAAACCAATCCTCTGAAATAATCTAACGAACCTTCAACCTTAGATTGATTAAAGGTGTTTAGCCTAGCATCGCGAGGTTAAACATCATTCAGAATAAAATAGCATAAAAGAAGAAGAAGAAGAAGATGAAGAGAAAGAGTGCAGAATTTCGATAAAGAAAAACTCAAAACAATTGTTCAACTCAAAATCTGACTGCCGAAGGGTTTCCTAACGTTTCCCTTAAATAACCCACATTCAGAACGGGTTAGGGTTTCACCACCTCGGCCCATACATAAAATAAGATCTGAATAAAATAAAATAAAACATTAAAACATGGCCTTGAGCCCTAAACACATTGGGTCCTAATTTAATTTATAAGTCCAAACGTCAAAATAAAATTCCAGCAAAAACACGTCATCTTGGACTCAGGTTTCTACCATCTTCGCGTTCGAATTGGGCTTAGTAGCTGAAATAGCGATTGTAGAACAATCTGTTAGCTACAAAACGCAATAAGAAAGGAGTTAATCGGACTCCTGTAGAGTGAGATATGGTCAAAATACGAAAGTAGTGTAAATTTGGAAAATTATAACGGAAATTAATTAAACCCAATTAAAATCTAGAATTCTGATTTAACCCAAAAGATCTGTATTTAATTCAAATAAATCATAAAAATACCAACCAAGAGTAATAAATAAGTGTAACAAAATAAGTGTTATCAAATATCCATCAAGAAAACAGAAATATTCTTTACCTACGAGGTGGTCTAACATCTGATATGTAAAGGGCAGTGGGAAGTGGTCCTTTCTGTTAGCATTATTATGCTTTCTGTAGTACTGGCAAATTCTGCATCCCGTTACTTTCCTGACGGGGATCAGTTCATTTTTTGCATTTAATTCTACGGTGATGCCCCCCTTCTTGGGAACACACTGGACCAGACTTACCCAACTACTATTTGAGATGGGATATATGATCCCTGCATCCAACCACTTAATCACTTCTTTTCTAACCACTTCCTTCATGATGGGATTTAGTCTTCTTTGGTGTTCTACTGAAAAGCTGTTAGGGTCAGTCAATAATATTTTATGCATACAGAAAGAAGGACTGATACCTTTAAGGTCTGCTATGGTCCATCCAATAGCTCCTTGATATTTCTTCAACTTGCTGATCGGTAGTTCTTCTTGTTCCTTGGTGAGAAGTGAGGAGATGATGACAGACAGGATGTTATTGCTTCCCATATATGCATATTTCACGTGCTGAGGAAGAGGTTTTAGTTCCAAGTCAGGAGGTTGTTCTGAAGATGGTTTTTTGACTTGTTTTTCTTGTTCAGTTATCTGCAGAGGTTCCGGTTTCCTTTCTTGCAGGTAACAATTTTGTTCTTCTTTTTGCAAACCTTCTACCATTTCTTCGACTTCTGGGTTTATGTTGATCTGGTTATCTGCTAGAGTGATTGCAGAGCATTCTTCCAGATCTTCATCCTCATCATGAAATTTCATTGCCTTGATGACATTAAATTTAACCTCATCATCATGTACTCTCATAGTAAGTTCCCCTTTTTGCACATTGATGACCGCTGTTCCAGTTGCTAGGAACGATCGTCCAAGGATAATGGGAACGTCTATATCAGCTTCATAGTCCAAGATGATGAAGTCAGCGGGAAAGATGAATTTATCTACTTTGACTAGTAAATCTTCCACCTTCCCCTCTGGTTTGACAATCGATCTATCTGCCATCTGTAAGGTTACCGTGGTTGGTTTTTCTGGTCCTGTGGCTAATTGTTTAAAAATTGATGACGATATGAGGTTGATGCTTGCCCCTAGGTCACACAAGGCTTTAGCTTGGTAAGTGTTCTCTATTACACAAGGGATGGTGAAGCTTCCTGGATCTTGTATCTTAGGTGGGAGTTTGCCCAAGTATTCGTAGCTTTCTCGTGTCATCTTCACCGTTTCATATTCTGTTATTCCTCTCTTTTTGGAGAGAACGTCCTTCATGAATTTGACATACTTGGGCATCTGTTCCAGTGCATCCACCAGAGGTATGTTGATGTGGAGTTGTTTTAAAATATCCAAAAAATTTCCAAACTGCTTATCATCTTGTTGCTTCTTTGTTCTTTGGGGGAACATAATTTTGACTGGAATTTGCTTGTTTTGTAGTGAACTGCTTGTTCTACTTTCGTCCACTGGGGTTTCTTCAGCTTCAAGTTCTAGGTTCTGCTCGACAGCTGCCTGTTGTGGTGATTGCGGTGATGCTTTTGTCAATGCCTCAGGTGGTTTGTCACGTTCCTCCCTGGTGGCTAGGGTTGGGGTCTTGGGAACTGCTGCAGTTTGAGTAGTACTCCTCCAACTTCTCAGTGTGACTGCCTTGATCTGTTCTGGTTGAAATTTGGGGGGGACGTCGACATCCCTTGTCCTGGTGTTAAGGCTAGCAGCTATCTTTCGTAGGTGGGATTCAATATTTCTGACCACAACATCATTCCTGGTGACATATTCTCTGACATAATTTTCTAGGGTGTTGATGAGTTGGTCATCTCTTTGGAACGGGGCATAATTGGTTCTTCTTTGTGGTTCATATGCTCCATTTCTGCTGCATTGTTGATAATGCTGCTGCTGATTATTGTGTGGACTCTGGTTCATGGGTGGTCTCCATTGTGGATTATGGTTCTGATCTTTCACTATGGTTCCTCTAGGGTTTTGATTGTTGTTGCTTCCTGCATTTTGATTGTCTCTGGCCTGGTTGAAGTTTTTGTTCCCAAACTTTTCCGCATAACATACCAAGGAAGTGGATGGACAGTCTGATGAATCATGAAGGTCACCACAGGCTGAGCATGGTTCACTCTCAGTTGCTGTGAGTTGTAAGACTTCCATCCTTGGTTGCTCTTGATCAACTTTCAGATTCTTCACCTCATTCATCAATGTGGCCAGTTAAGATTCCATGGCAGTTTGTTTGTCTAAGTCTAGCATGCCTGGCTTCCTTACTGGGCTCATCCGTTCCAGTGGCCATTGGAGACATCTTTTTGCAGTGCCTTCTATGATTTCGTACCTGGATTCAAGGGTTCCTGTAAAGAAATATACTTATGCAGCAAAGTCTAAATGTGATTGAGAAGTATGATCTATGCCTTTATAAAAAGATTGTAAAACACCCCAACTCTCCACCCCATGGTTTGGACATTTTCTGATGATGTCCTTGTATCTCTCCTAAGCTTCATAAAGATTTTCTCGATAAAACATTCTAAAGTTAGAGAGTTCTGTTCTAACATCTGCTTGGCGGGACATAGGGAGAAATCTTTCTATGAACTTGTTAGAAAGTTCCTCCCAAGAGTGTATGGATCCAGGGGTGAGAGTTTTCATCCATGTCTTTGCTTTTGATCCTAGGGAATGAGGGAACAACCTTATTCTTATACTTTCCTCTGTCACACCCTCAGCTTTGAAGTTATCACAAATGTCTTAAAAGTTTGTGAGGTGTGTTTAAGGAACTTCTGCAGGGAGTCCATGAAAGACTCCAGCTTCCCTTATCATGTGGAACATGATGGGTTTTAGTTCAAAATTGGGAGCTACAGGAGGGAAGATTACTCCCTTTTCTGGTCTTTTCCTGAAAGGAGCAGCCAAAGTTCTAAAATTTTGTTCATGAGGGATTCCTTCATTGTTATTGTTATGATCAGCCATGTTTTCAAAATTATTTTCCTTGAGATTTCTTCTCCTTCTATGTAAAGTGCATTCTAGCTCAGGGTCAAAAAAAACCTCAGGTATCTCAGCGGAGTGGGGAGAATCTGTTTCATACTCTTCACTCATAAACCATAAAGTAGATAGTGTGAATCAGCAGAATATGTGACAAAAATAAAACAAGAAATAAAAATGAAATATACAGAGTATGTATGTACTTAAAACAGTAATAAGGACAACAATGAGTGTATCTAACCCCGACAACGGCGCCAAAAACTTGTTGGGTCAAAAGCTGTTGGGTGAAAAATATATTATGATGAAGACGTTCCTCAGTTCACTAAGAAAGAACACAGTTGCTCTCTTAGTTTCAACCCAAGTGCGCAAGTGCACGCATCAAGTAATAAATGAGAGTGTTATTGCCCAGATTATCGTTCCCACGAGGAAGGAACTCTAATTGGTGCCTTATACTATTTTACAAAGAATGAAAATGAAAAGAAAAGTTAGTAATTGACCTATCTGGTCAAACATTCCCTACTGTCTCAAGAACAGTAGGTTCAATCTGACAGCAAACAGTTCATCGCTTCGTTATGTATGGTGCCCTTCTTGTTGAGAGAAGGAAAAGCAATATTCGTGGGAGAGTTATAGATACAAGATCGAACAAATAATAGAAAATAACAGGATGGATGGTGTAAAACAATTTAACAGAAGGAACCGATCCGCTGTTCCATTCTTAAATAAATATTTTCTTTACTCGATTTTTAACACTTTTGTCTTTGTTCCAGTCTCTTAACTGCCAAGGTCTGATTCCTCAGCTTATGGATTGGATGGCTCACAAGTCTCCATATTCCTATGGCTTTCTCGACTCCAACAAGTACTTGGTATAGGATCTTAAAATGAACGAGGAGGCCCTTTATTCCTAAGGCAACAAACAACACTGCCTTCCCCTCTGGTTAAGCTGTCTGAAATCCCTTCCTTATGGAAGTTCCTTTCTCAGTATGTCTTCAATTTCCATTGTTACACAATGAATATAGCTCACTTAACCAGAGAAATCCAAAAGCTTAAATACAAAAGTTTCGAAAATAAGTCTCTAAGAACTTTGCAGTTTTTCCGTTCCACAGATAGGTTAGCCCATGGCTACTAGTTTAAACATAATTATTCCAAACTGAAATCCCATAGACCCGAGATTCAGTTCATAGATAACGAATGGAAAAGAGAGAAATAACACTTGTATTTAAATGAAAATAACTTGATTACAACAAAATGAAAAGTGTAGAATATGATTGTTGCTCGTGAGGAGTCTCAAGTGGGTGATACATAATGAAGAAGAAGTGTTGTCACTTAACTAAAGTCAAAAATGTACAAAAAAATACAAAGAAAACTATAAACTAAACTAAGTGATCTCTTCTTAAGGAATTCGATGTTGTCTTTGTGCTGGAACGTCCTATTTATAGGCAGAAGAGTGAAGGGGAAAATGGGTAATTCTCTTGTAGTTGTTTTCTTGACTGCATGGAAGGGGCAGCGTGAACAGTGCTTTGAGGGGCGCAAGTGGCTGGATGGGACAATTATTGTTGAGATTTGTCTTTCCTTCTGATCGTCCCATGCCTTGCTTTCTTCCTTAGCCGATATAAACCGTTTATTCTCTGCTGCGCACGTTTCCTCTTGCTTGATTGCTGCACTGCTTATGCTTTATGGAAACTTCTTTCCAACGTTTCCTGCAAAGTGGTCAGAAATATTAAATGAGTGGAGCAGGTGTATTTAATGTTCAAAATCCGTTCCCCTTTTTGTATATTTTCCAAAGACTTACGTCACCATCCGTTCCCCACTGTGTTTTTGTCAAAAAGATATTCAACATATGCTTTTAGTGCTAAAGTTGCTAATCAGGTGAGGGAACAGATGGCATTTTTCCATCAAAATGGGCTTAGATGGGCATCAATACACATCTATATATGAGGTTTTTCAGTTAGTTGTTTAATTGCAATTTACATGTAGGCAATGTTTTATAAAGGATTGAAGTAATCAACTTGGTTATTAATAATGACATCATAATTGAAAGGAAAAAGCTAGTTCCGCATTTTAATTAAGCGCAGCTTAATACGATGATATAATAACAAACCGGGTATACACGAGGTGTTACATTTTATGGTATCAGAGCACTTTCTAGGGAAAAGCTTGTATGTATTGCAATAACTTAGGATGTTTTGCTGTGTAAATTGTCTATTGTGTTCTTTTGGGTTTTTGCTATGATGATGCACGCGTGACCACATTGCGTGGGCCTGATCAACTCATTCCTTGTGTAACTTGTGCAGAGTTATGGTACTACCTCGGAGGGACCGAGAGACTAGAGAGGGTCAACCTGACTCGGTCCTAGCTGCATTAGCTGAGATGCAGGCAGCTCGACAAGCCGACCAGGAGGCCATGAGAGTGGTTAACCAAGCTATGCTGGATGCCGTCAGAGAGGCGAACAGGAAAGCCACAGCCCTATTGGTGCCCAACATCCTCTGCCACCACCACCACCACCACCGCCTCCACCTAGTCAACAAGATGAGAGTCTTAGTCATTTGGAGGGTGTTAGTCATCTCTCTGGGATGATACAGCCCTACCTTGAGCCCACAGAGGACATAGATACGATCGACCGCCGGCTGAATGCTTTCCGCAAGCATAAGCCACCATCTTTTGATGGGTCTTATGATCCTATTGCTGCTGCTAGATGGCTTCAGGCCCTGGACAAGATATTCAGGGTGATGCAGTGCATAGATCCCTAGAAGCTGATGTTTGCCACGTATATGCTAGAGGGAGTCGCACATGAGTGGTGGACGAACACCTCTCAAGCTTATGAGATGCATGGTCATGTGATTACATAGGCATTCTTTGAGGAGCTGTTTCTTGGGAGATATTTTCCGTATGACGCGCAGGAGCAGAAACAAGGAGAGTTTGACCATTTGGTGCAAGGCTCGATGACTGTGGACGAGTACTTGGCTAAGTTCAATGAACTGGCCAAATTTGCACATTTCCATATTGCTATGCCTACCCCGACATTTCTGGCTTCTAAGTTCCGTAGGGGACTTAATGAGGAGATCGCAGATCGGATTGCTGGAGCTGCATCTAGAGACTTCAGCACGTTGTTTCAGCAGTGTCATGACATTGAGGATGTCTGTGTTGTGACATTAAGGGAACTTGTAGTTCCACTTCTTGGAAAGACAGGAAGTTTGGTGGTAAAGGGAAAGGGAGGCAGTTGGCTGCTAGGCAGGCGCCTAGCCAGTTGAAGAGGACTTCTATGCAAGGAAGTACAGCTAGACCTCCTACTCCCAGGTGTGCGAGATGTGGTAAATTTTATGTTGGGCCGTGTGCTACCGGCTAGTTGATATGTTTTCATTGTCGCAAGGAGGGCCACTATTCTAGAGACTGTCCATCGTCTACTGTGAGAGCTGCAGCGGTTCAGGCGATTCCATTGCAGATGATTCCTAAGGCACATACAGCGGTACCTGTTGTGCCACCTGCCACTGGCCAGTTTATACAATGGATAGGTAGCAGTCAAACAGAGCTCCGAACCTTGTGAGAGGTACCGTTTCCATTGGTGGTTCTGCTCTTGATGTGTTATTTGATTTCGGGGCGACGCATTCTTTCATCGCGACCCCGATTTCTGTGGGCCTTGAGTTGCCCATTGTTGTGCTTTCTCCACCGTTGCGGGTGACTACCGCCACCAGAGAAAAGTGTGATACCTCCACTGTACATCGAGATGTCGTGTTTCAGTGGGATGGCCATGAGTTTTCGGTGGATCTGATAGGATTTTCGATGGCTAATTTGGAGATCATCCTTGGTATGGATTGGTTGTCAAAAAATTGCGTGATGATTGATTGTTGTGCAAAGCGAGTGGTGATGTCTCAGTGTGATTCCACAGCCAGTTCCTCGCCTTATATTTCAGTACTGCAGGCTAGGAGAGCCTTGAGAGCAGGGGCATTTGGATATGTCATGTTGGGAGGTTTGGTGAGTGGGACACAGGAGGATATCACTGGCATTCCGCGCGGTAATGTAAAATAATAAAAATAAATAAAAAATTCAAAGTCGTGCGACCAGCGCTAGAATCCGCGCGACCTGCGCAAGTTCCGCGCTGGTTCTTATTCAGTGCGAATTCCCCCCCCCCCCCACTCACCCATTTTGCATTCAGTTTTACTCTTTTCCCCTCCCAATTCTCTCCTTTTCATGGTATTGTCCGTGCTCTTTTCCTGCAAATGGATTCACGGGTAAGTTTTATTTATTTCTTCTTTTTATTAGTGTTATGATTAGTTAGTATTTATTTCTTTTTAATTATTTTTCTGAATAGTTATTTGGTTAATTGTTTTGTTAATTTTT